TTGAAACTGCTTGCTGAAAGTGGGTTGCGTTGGTTCATGTGGGCTGGCTTTCGAGAATGCAATGCTGCTATCACGTGCTGACTGTCCGTGTTGCCCTTTTCAAGAAAATAGAAGCCGTATATGTAGCTTAGCATGTGACGTGGTCCAAGAAGTTCTTAGAAGAGGAGCAGGTCAGCAGTTACACCGGACGAAACTATCAATCCATGTGTATGCATCTCTACCTGTATGTGTTGTTCAAGCTCGCATTCTGAATATGTAGTTACACACAGTAGCGACTTATACACATAGGCAAGCATGCGGATTAACACGTAGTATCTCGCTCAATACTCTCATATGTACATGTTTGACTGCACGCATGCACATCAGTTCCTGATAGGCTCATGTGGATTTGGTATGTCTGTGCATGTATACATGCACTAGGCATGCATGCATGTGTGCAGTCATGAGTTTATGTGAGTATGGATGGCCCGCTGCATGTACTGTATGTCTGTATGTATGTACGTATGTTTGTATGTATGTATGTATGTACTCAGAGGCCCCAAACTAGTTCCTTTTTGGGGTTCATATATGGAATCGTATACGGTAATCCCAAAAAGGAACTAGTATGGGCCCTCTGGGTATGTATGTATGCATGTATGCAAGCATCATGCATCGCAGAAGACCGAGAGTTCCAATGAGTTTAACTATCCTATCCGACGTGAACGTTTCGTGGATGGTAGTGGCAAAAGGTCTGAACCGTTACGCATTGGAGGCCAAAAGGGATTTTGATTAGGGTTCCCATAATAGGGTTCAGATTAAGGAATCCCTATCCCAAGAATCTTAAACCCCCCTTTTGGCCTCCCATCATTTACTCAGATACACACAAAATACTCTAGGGATACAAATCAGGTAGCTACGAAACTTTCTGTCTTCACCCTTTTAGGTTTCAGGCTTTCCCACAATATGCGCGCCCATCGATGCTTGGCAAGCAAGATGCCACGCCTTCTCCCGCAATAGGCGCGTCCATCGATTTTCGGCAAGCTGGATGCCACGTCTTATTGGTCAGCATACCTGGTGTGCCATGCGTTCATCTAGTAAGCCCCGAGACCATTACCCTTAGCCTTATACCCGATCTCTTTTTACTTTCGCATACTACTGTTCTTTATCTGATTCAACAAATGACGCCGAAGAGTCTCTGGCACATCACCAAATGTTTAGCTTTAATACTTAAGTGAAAGGTAAAGCGCTCATCAAGATGAGTGGTAACCATCGTAGTGGAGCCTTAAGCCGTCCAGCCACAAATATTATGGGAGCCTCTGTGGCTAAGCACACTCCGAAACCCCAAACCCTTAAACCTGCCCTAAACCCTAAACCCTAAACCCCCAAACCCCTAAACCCCTAAACCCCTAAACCCCAAAACCCCAAACCCCCAAAACCCAAAGCCAGCGGCAGCTCATGCGCCATGGCGGCCAAGATCGAACCAAAGGTGAAACTCGAGAAGTCGCTCGGCTTTGGGTTGAGGGTTCCTTTACAGGGGATTCTTTAGGGGGTTCAGGGGTCCGGTTCAGGGGCTTAGGGTTTAGGGTCTTGGGTTTAGGGTTTAGGGCTTAGGGTTTAGGGTTTAGGGTTCAGGGTTTAGGGTTTAGGGTTCAGGGGTCCCTAAGGCTCCATGTACCCAGGCCTTAAAGGGGTCCCTATATGGCATATTGGCACTTTAAGGCCAAAGTACCTACTATATGGGTAATTACATGGAGCCTTTGGGGGTTCCTGTAAAGGCGATTACAAGTATGCATTGGGTTTAAGGGGCGTAAGGGTGAGGGAGCGTAGGATTCAGGGTTTCAGGGTTTAGGTTTAAGGAATAGGATTCAGGGTTTTGGAGGTTTAGGGGTTAACGGGTTTAGTTTTGTTGGTTTTAAGGGTTTAGGGAGTTTAGGGTTTAGGGGGCGGGGGGTTTAATTAGAGATATGGGTTCCAAGACAGCGATGCCGACAATGGAGGGCTGCCTCGGCTTCCATTGCTTACGCAGCTGAGACCCAATTTTCAGATATGCGTGCGTCTACTTTGAAGGCACATCTACTTTGGGCTTACTTTGGCTGCCCTAACAAGGATTTTACTTGGAGGGTCGGAGGACTTAGTAAGTAGGTAGTAAGTAGACTTATAAGTACCCTAAAAGGGACCCTAATTGGGGTTATAGTACTTATAAGTCCTTAAAATAACCAGTTACTAAGTCCCCCGACCTGCCAAGTACTGTTCAGTATAGGTGGAGGGGCCCGTGTAGGTCCGAAACCCAGCCTCCGCTTAGCCGCCCAGGGAACTTGTAGGTTTATAAGCACCGTAAATGGAGTTCCTCCAATCCCTGAGGGTCCATGTTCTCCTAGTATATACATAGGCCCCAATGTAGTCCCTATATAGGTACTTTGGGGTCAAAGTATACTCATATGGATACATGGACCCTTAGGGAATTGCAACCCTACTTATGACCGACTTACTAAGTCCCTCGGGCCTTTAGTCTTCCCGTAATCAAGTTCAACCCTCGAAGTGCATCCTGCTAGGAAAGGTCAGGCTGAGGTTGTAAGCTTAAGATGCAGGGTTCAGGGTACATCTCAACTCGTCTTTCGAACCTAAAAGCCTTCAACCCTACAGCTAGAACCACCGGAAACGACGCTACACCCCAAAGCGCCTAACCCAGGAGAACTAAACCCACATGGGTAGTTGTCAAAATTAGGGTCCCTTTTTGGGTCCTTATTAGAATACGGCACCTAGTATTTAGGGTACCCAAAAAGGGACCCTAATTTTGACAACTACCCACATCCTAAAGCCCTGAGGCCTCAACCCCCAAAGCCATACAGGGGACTTAGCAACTAAGGTCCTTTAAGGGTACTATAGGGTTCTATCTATAATAGGGCTCCCTTTAAGGGTTTAGGGTCTACTTAGAGGTTCATGGGACTTAGTAGCTAAAGCCTTAATATGCATAGCCTTCCAGTTTCCCCACACTACGGAGCTTGAGCCTTGAAAGTGTGCGAGGATAAAGCGCGAACTGAAGTCCGAGCTGAAGCAAGAGACTGGGCTTTGAAGTACCATACTTTAATACCTTTTTTCTTAAAGGAACCCTTATGAAACACAAGTTTATACTGTTTTCTCCCATGCTTACTTAAAAGCCCAGGAGACCAAGCAAGAGACCAAGCAAGAAGCAAAGAAAGAGGCGAAGCATGAGGCGACCACTGGAGGGTGGTGGGTTTCATGGGGTTTAATGTAGGAACCTGATTAAGAGACCTTGGGCATTATTAAGGTTCCGTATATGAATGCTACTATTTTGGGGTTATAGGCCCAGGGTTTATTAATCAGGCTCCTACATTAGGGTTCTAGGTTAGAAGCTGCCCCCACCCTGTAATAGTGGTATAATAGGAATATAATAGGGCCCTAATATAATCCTATATAGTCCTTATAGTCACTATTACAGGGTGGGGGCAGCTTCTATGTTCTAGGGTTTAGGGTTGCGGGTCTGTTTTGGGGGCCTCGGGGTTGAGCGTATCAGATTTAGAAGGTTGCGTTTCTTGAGCAGCTAGGTGGGGCTTTGGGACATTTTATGTTTTCCCTTACTGGGCTTAAGAGGATGTTATTTACTAATATTGTTCAAAGGCCTTAAAAGCACCACCTAGGCAGTGTTCGACTTTTGGGCATCTGGGGTACGCCTAGAAGCTTCAGAGTGCTGGACCCGAACACCCACTTAGGGTTGCGGGCTAAGCCCGAACACCCACTTAGGGTTGGGGGCTAAGGGGTTTAAATTTAGGCCTCGTTGTTCACATTGAGTCAAGGTTTCAAACCCTCAAACCCAAACCAGAAGCCCTAAACTCCAAGCCCTGTCCAAAACGTATAATCCCTACAAACCCTAAATGCCGAAAGCCCCAAACCTGAATTGAGGGCTTGAGTGCAAGGCCATGAATCCTTCGCAGACCTTGCTTATGTCTTGACAACTCAGGAGATTATAAGATAGACCCTAAAACTCTCAATGCGGCTCCTTGAGTGAATAGTGAATAGGGGCTTTTGCAGCGGTTGTACAAGGTGGGTGCTTCGTAAGGGTTCTGTAAGGATGAATCGTATTGTTGTAAGGGCTTTACAAGGGGTCTGTAAGAACTTCAGAAGACATCCTTGCGGTTCTTGTTGGTCTTAACAGCGGGCTTTAAAGGGTTGTAAGAGCTTTACTTGGAGGTTCATCGGTAGTTATAAGTGATATATCACATCATATTACGGGACTTATAACCCCACTTATAACTACCCATGAACCTCTAAGTACTTCAAGGACTTTAGAGGAGCCCAAAGTGGGATTTCTTCAGAGCTCAGTGGTCCTTTCCAGGACTTCACTTGGAGGGCCGGTGGACATAGTAACTGGTTATTTTAGGGACTTATGAGTACCATAACCCCAATTAGGGTCCCTTTTAGGGTACGTATAAGTCTACCTGCTACCTACTTACTAAGTCCCTCGACCCTCCAAGTAGGGTTTAGGGTCTAGGGTTCCAGGACTTAGCAAAGTTGGGTCGAGGGCAGAGGTGTTTACCAAGAGGATCCTACTACTCCCGGTGCTATATACGGGTTGCTGTTTTTGTTCTGAAGCTTCTAACCCAAATTCAAAGGGTCCTTCGTACCTGTATAGTAGAAAGTAGGGCTCCTATACTATCGTTCAGGTAGATCGGACCTCTTGGGTAAACCAACTCTGCATGACTCCGCTGCAGGGAGGGTCGAGGCGGTCCTTCCCGATACTATAGTCTCCTTAGGACTTGGTCTTCATCGGTGTTCTTACAAAACCCAAGAGATTGCTAACACTATAGTTTGGTTATGGTTCTAAGAGGGGTATAGGATAAGCCTGCACCCCGGACCCTCATCCTCCGGTCTGGTCCCTCGTAGTGTTCCGATTGTTTAGTTCACTTTAGTTCCAATATTAGCCCGTGAGATAAATCGAGCATACTAGCTTGAATATGGCTTTTACATGTGAATGGTTAGAGGTGTCTAGCTGTCTCTGTCCCATGGACGACTTTGTCGAGGACGGCTGCATACATTTTGTGTACTGCAGCATCTTATCCGTATATTTTTGGATCGCCGTCGCGTTGACATATTCTTCAGACATCCGCTCAATTGGCGGCGTTGGGTTGTGGCTAGATCTCGCCGTGCAACTAGGTTGTCTAGTGTTCGGTGAGCTCATCAACTATTTCAGCTGGGTGGAAATACTCGGACGTCAACTTGGCCGATTTCATTGGATTTTCTCCTTGCCGATTTTTCTTGGCCTGAGGGCCCTAGCTGGTGGCAAGAATGGTCACTGCGTGCGTTTTTGGGAGGGTAGCCAACCGCTGCGTCAAGTTGACATATGCGACATCGAGGAATGGAAGGACTTCCGGGGAAGCATCTATTTCCGAGATGGTGCCGTCACCCAACACGGTCATACAATGCCGCCTGTTTCCATCAACATCACGGCCTGTTTTTCCATAGCCGGAGGCAACCAACCCGACCGGCAGGAAGGCTGCCACTTCATGCTGCGACCCGTGTCTTAGCTTTGGTTAGTAGGCAATGGAGGAATGGGGTATAGTTAGACCGACTATTACTACCATTCTTCTACCAACCAACGGTAAGGTGTTCCAATGTGATGCTGACGGTCCCGACGGCGGCTTGCCACTATCCTGTGTCGAGCCGCGTGCTTGCGCGTGGGCGATCACTGCGAACACCAGCAGCATTCCTGAACCGCCTCAAAGCCCCGACTGTTTCAGTTCGGGTCTCTGTGGCTTCGTGACTGACCTGGAGCAGCTCATGCCTGGTATGCCGCATGTGAATGCCAGCATGAGTGCCTTTCAAGATGCCCTGGATGCAGCTGGACGACACTTCCCAGGACATCTCACGTCAGAAAGCCCGTTGCTGTACCTCATCAACCCGGTCGAGGCAGAAGCAAGTCGAAATGGGGTTTCGGAAAATCGGGGACCCCAATATAGTACCCTAAATAGTAGGATCCTTACTATAAAGGACCCCTAAATAAGGTACCCCTTATCTTCGGAAACTCCCAAATGAAGCCCTCATTGAAATAACAAGCGACTTCTTGTGGAATAGGTCCATGGGTTACAACCCCAAGCAGCATGCCGCCTAAAGAATCTGATGTAGGAGCCTTATAATTTTAACAGGATTCTGGTGTATATTGTACTATAAACTGTATAGGTATAATAAGGATCCCCCCAACATCGCATAGGTAGTTATTTCGGCATCTACGTTCAACCCCAAAACTCTGAAAAGCCGCTCAGGTGACTGGATCTTTGGGAGTCTGGGTTCCGATATACTATGTCTTACTCTTCATCTATGTTCCTGAGCTTTGGAGTACCACACTTAATTCAATTCTTTCTCCTTAAAGGAACCCTTATGGCAATAGAGTTTATACTGTTTTCTCCCTGGTTACTTAAAAGCCCAGGTTCCCTTTGGGATCCTCCTTGCCTGGCTACAGCCTGTGTGGCAGTCCGGCTGTGGAGGAGCACTGCAAAACTATGTTGACTTCTTGGAAGACCTATCTGAGGACGACACGGACTGACCCAGAGACCCTCCGCTTAATGAAGGGACAATCCCTATGTGTCCCTACAATCTGCTAGAGATACGTATTTAGAGCTCTCCGGGAAATCAGGGTGGCCTGCTTGGAGGTTCATGGGTAGTTATAAGTTATAGCTGGGGTATATGTCCCCTACACCCTAAGCCCCCTAAACCCCAAACCCTAAAAGCCACCCATGAACCTCCAAGTAGCATCGTTCGAAGCATGCTGAGTGCTCAGGTGAGGATCAAAGGGTCGTGGCGTTGAGTGCTGGGTACAAAAAGGGGCCTGAATAATTTCGGGTGGTTTCTCATATTGTATGTATACGTAGTATATTGGGCCCCAAACCCCTATTCAAATTATTAAGGCCCCGGCCCCTATATTGTTAGGTTCAGGGTGTTGGGTTTAGGGGTTTGGGGTGTGGTGTCTCATGCTTGCTTCCGGGTTTCAAATTATGTTCTTACCAGAGAATACTGCTTTAATCAGAACTTGTCGAATTGTCCGTAAATTAAGGTTCAGGGATGTTTAGGGTTTAGGGTTTTAGGGTAGTTTAAGGTTTGGGCCCCTATATTAGCCTGACTGACAGGTGAAAGTCAAGCCTGGCACCAACACCAAGGTGGATTTGGACGAGCTCGCCCGAAGCTGGGCTCTTGTTAAGGAAGCCAACCCTGAACCCTAAACCGTTTTAGGGTTTAGGGTTTAGGAGTTGTTTTAAGTCGTCCTTATGAAAGAACCACAGTATTTACCTTAGATCCGTTTTATGTTAAGGATTTGTTAAGTTGTCTTTTGAAGGAAACCACCGTGTTTACTTTGAAGTTCCCATGATGGTTGCGACGATAAGGTGACGCCAATCCCTGCTATAGACCTCATGGTGGCAACTTAATCTCTAAACCCCGAAGCCTAAGCCCTAAACAACCAACTTAAGCCCTACATAAGCCCCAAACCCTGAACTCTAAACGCTAAACCCTTCTTAACCCTAAGCCCCCAAGAAACCAGGAAGAGGGCATGCGATTCGGCTGAAGAACGAAGAGGCCAAGCGCGCCAAGCAAGAGGCCCCCCCCAGGTTACTTTTTGATAAGGGGTCTTAAGCGTTAGAACAGGGGTTCCCTTTAAGGGGATCCTAAAAAGGATTCGAGAAGGGATCTATAATAGGGTTCTATAGTAGGGGCCTGAACAATTAGAATAGGGCTTTTGAAGTATACTTTGCTGGTAACTATGCTATCACCATATTAGCGACCAGGTATACAGTAATACTTCTGGGCCAGTTTTTACAGGATTCCATGTTGGTCGACAGTGCTCGTGTTGTGAACTTACTTGGAGGGTCGGGGGACTTAGTAACTGGTCATTTTAGGGACTTATAAGTAACTTAACCCCAATTAGGGTCCCTTTTGCGGAACTTATAAGTCTACCTACTACCTACCTACTAAGTCCCCCGACCCTCCAAGCACCCACTGAGTCGAAGGGGGGTTGAGAAGACTTCGGCTCTGTTCGACATGTTTTGTCAAGTTTTCGGAAGTTTTGGAAGAGTTTCATACTTGGAGGGTCGGGGGACTTAGTAACTGGTATTTTTAGGGACTTATAAGTACCATAACCCCAATTAGGGTCCCTTTTAGGGTACTTAGAAGTCTACTTACTACCTACTTACTAAGTCCCCCGACCCTCCAAGTAAAGGAGCGCTAGTAATTACCTATACTATTTTGGGGGTTCCTTATTCTAGGTATAGTACAATGGGAGCACTAGCCAGTAAGCCCTACACCCTTCTTCGAAGATGTTTAGGCGCACCATACCCGCAGAGCCCAGTACCACTTGAGTAAGGAATACACCTTATACACCATAAGACCAAGGCCCCTGATGGCCCCTTGAAGTTAAGGCATGTTCCTGAATAACTGGGCTCTCCGGGGAGGTTTTTCATGCAGGTTTGTGGCGACCCCCAAAAGCACATAAGAATAAGCACTTTATAGGGATATCCCTACCTTATTGGGCTTCATTATAAGGTTTTTTTTTTATCCTAATTTTGCTTACGTGCTTCTTTGGAGCCCTAGTTTGAGGAGAAGGAGGCCCCGTAGGGTGCCGTGCAGACCATTTTCATCTCTGTTGCACACTTTCAGACCCATCATTCTCCTTGAGAAAAGGCCAAGACAACGACAAAGAAAAAGAGGAAGCAGAAGGTACCTTCTCTGCAAACAGTCAGATGGCCACTTTCTGCAAGATTTCTGCCGCTGCGGCCCGTTTCCTTCAGCGAGACTATCTCCTCTTCTTCGTCTACTACTGCTAGTCCTGCTACGGTCTCTAATGCCACAGCGACTATTATTGCTCTTCTGTTGCTACTATAGGGGCCTCAATCATTACCAACGCTATTTTGGCGGTCCTTACTATGCTTGTGGTATAGTGGGCCCCAAAAACCCCTATTCTGACTATTGAAGGCCCCTACCCAGAGGGTCCAAGTACCCAAATAGTAGGGTTTCAGGTCCCAAAATCCTTACTCTGAATGGTCTTTGGACCTCGAAACCCTACTATTTGAGTACTTGGACCCTCTGGGCTATATTAGGCCTCTGGCAAAGAACAGGATTTCAGGGTGATCTCAGTCTCAGGGTGACAGCAAGGTTTGGCATTCCAGGGCCTACTTTCTGGCCTAGGGTTTAGGGATTTGTTTAGGCCCTTACATTTCTCTTGCTAGGCGCCTGTTTTGCTTTTGTGTAGACCACCGTGGAATTTTCAAGAACTGGTGCGATTTTGTGGGGCCCAAGTGGGCTTCTCGTTGAGGTTCGGGGATTGATCCCAAACTCTACACCTTCTGGGGAAGTTCAGAAAGCTTGCCTTTGGTTAGTAGGGAATGGAAGAATTGGGTACAAATATAACTACTATTACCACCATTCTTCCATTCCCTACTAATCAAAGGTAAGAAAATTGAATTTTCGTGGCTTGGCTCAACTCCTCACTTCGAAAGCCGAGCCCACAAGATCCTCAACCCCTAAACCCCTAAACCCTAAGCCCTAAACCCTAGACCCCTAGACCCTAAACCCTAAACCCCTAAACCCTAGACCCTAATCCCTAAACCCCTTAACCCTAGACCCTAAACCCCTAAACCCCTAAACTCCTAAACCCGAGGCCCTACTCCTGAAGATCTAAATCCGAGTACTCTGACGGCCCAGCTCTTACTGCAAGCCTGCAAGCCTGTCACGCCCGAATTCAGCCCCCCCCCCCCTCAACCGCCGGGAGGATCTAAAAAGTAGATCCCCTTATTTGGTACCCTAGTTATACTAGTAAAGGGTACTTTACAGGAGCCCCCTGTTAGGATCCCCTTAAAGGCACCCTGATAGGATGCCGTTAAATCAACCCTTATAGGATGCCCTCCAAAGGATCCCCCCTTAAGGGATCTACTTCTTGGATTCTCCATACACCTGGGACCCCTGAACCCTACTTGGAGGATCATGGGACTTTGTATATAAGCGAGATTACAAGTACCCTAATGGCGGTTACGAGTATCTATAAGTATAGTTGCCTTGTTATAACCTTTGCCCTCATAGGGTGATAATTATATCATCAATTGTAAGTATAGTTTAGCCTGTGCGAACGGACTGCGATGCCTTGTCAAGTTCTAAGGTGTCACTATAAGAGCTGTGAGCAAGAAGCCACTATCGTGTCATTTGGGGTTTTCATTTCCGATTGGGTGTTTCACCCTCCGAGTCCTGCCGTGGAAAGAAAGCAAAAAAAGCACAAAAAACACCAATTATGTCATGCTTTGAAGCTGAGTTTTGTGGAGCCAACACACATGTTTTCATGCTTTGGGCACACACATACACCGAAATATTTGTGCATATTTTAAATGTTTTGCATGTTTTCCTCTGGTGTGCTCAACTGTCGTTTTGCCAAATCAAACTTGTTGTCAGCAAATCACATGGGAAACCGTTTTTTAACACCACACATCACACTCATGGAACAGTTTTGCAGCAGCTATGAACACGACCCTAAACTCTTAAACCCTAAGCCGACTCCCTAAATCCCAAGTCTTAAACTCTTTGGTTGCTAGGGCTTAGATGGTTTTGGGTGCAGGGATATTAGTCTTCGGGGTCATTCAGGGTGCCTCGGTGGGGGTTGAACAAGCCCCCTCTTGGCTTAGTGGGGTGATAGGGTTATTCAGGGTGCCTTGGTGGGGGTTGAACAAGCCCCCTCTTGGCTTAGGCAAGTAGTGGGTTTTTTAGGCAGGTGCTGGAGTTTTTCAGGGTGCCTTGGTGGGGGTTGAACAAGCCCCCTCTTGGCTTAGGCAGGTAGTGGGGTTTTTTGCAGGTGTTGAGTTGTTCAGGGTGCCTTGGTGGGGGTTGAACAAGCCCCCTCTTGGCTTAGGCAGGTAGTGGGGCTTTATGCAGGTCTTGAGTTGTTCAGGGTGCCTTGGTGGTGGTCGGCTCGGGTTTTGGGGTTGGGGTTTAGAGTGCTTGCCCAGAAGCCCGAAGCAAGACCCTAAATGCCAAAATTCTTTAACCCTGACCCCTAAACCCAAACCCCCGAAGCCCTACTCCCCTGAGCTCTGAACATGATGCCTCATCCTGAATTGTAAGGCTAAACTCATCCATAGCAATAGTTGCCAAGCCCCCAATTTGCACATGCCATCAACCTTCACCTCAGCCCTGGTAACCCTGAACCCCTGAACCTTATGCTCGAAACCCCGAACCACATAAACCCTGAACCTGAGGCCCTGAACCCCTTGACCTTAAACCCTATAGCGCCTCTAACCCTGTCGTTGCAGGCCTTTAAGAGCCCTAACCTTTACACCCTAAACCCCCAAACCCTACACCTGCGGTGGCACAACACTGCTTGCGCCCGACGACGAGGCATGGCATTCGCTTGCAACCGGTTGGGTTCTGTATTTTTCTCACACAACCATGAATTGAGATGATTCTTAGTTGCAGGTTTCTGCTGCAAAAAAACAGGTTGCAACCAGTTGCGTTCTGTAACTTGTGGCAAAACCCATCAATTCAGATGACTTGAATACAGGTTTCTGTGGCAAA